TCGGAGATATTTTGGTCTGGCACAAGAATTTTCGGTTTGGAGTGTGAACCGCTAAAAAACCCGTTGGTTCTTTTCGGCAGTTCTTTCCGTCCATCTTGGAATCGTGCAGCTTGGAATGATTTTCTTCAACAGGGTTGGTTCATTCAATTCGTCCACCACATCATTCGAAAGTTTCCAGGGAAGTCTCTTCTGCTTTCTGTCAGGTAAATCACATAAACACCACATTCAAGATGCATCCTGACATCGGCGGACATGATTACTCCACATTCCATAAGTATGCCAACCAGAATCTCAAAGAGAGCGTTCTTCCCTTCTAAGTATAAGGTTAACTTATCCGGATTATATTGTTACATAAATACTGTACATAAAGATTCCTTTACATTAATGTCCTTCCCAACAACATGCAAGTCATCACGTCTCTTCACAAACCCCCAACTCGATCAATATGGTCGTTGTGGCAAAGGTGACGTCGGTGGAGGTCGCGGGAACATATTTCCTCGACCCAAAGTCTCAAACCCGCTGTACCCATCCGTCCTCTCCGTCGCCTCCGTCATCAACGAAGCCCTCCTCTGCAACAATGCATTCCGCGTCAGCGTCCCATCATCGTCCTGATCCACAGGTGTATCAGGGCTCGTACTCAAAATATCAAACGTCTTGCCAATATTGTCCATGAACTGGCCCCAGCTTTCGTCTTGGGCGTAAACAGGTCGCGGGAGATCTAGACGTGGGGGATCGTTAACGTCAAGGTTCGCGGTGGTGGGGCTTTTGATGAGTTCACCGAGGAGACCCGATTGTATGTTTTGTTGGAGGTTGGAATCGTCTTGGGTCGGGCCACCTAGCAAACGGGAGAGGTTCTTGTCTGAGAGAAGGTCCCATTGCTCGCTTTTGCGTTGGAAGGTTGTATTCCGCACGGATTCGTCCCGTTCGTAGGATAGGAGGAGATCGGTTGTGGCGTTTGAGCGTGCGGATAGGGGGGCGAGTTGTTCGTCGGCGGTTACGAAGGTTTTCTCGGTTGTTGTGGTGGCTGCACTTGTACCTAGGACTTGTTGGGCTTGGGTCTCTACGGGTTCGGCAGCAGCGGGCATGTTGGTTGCGATTGGTTCTTGAACAGTCGCCTTTGATTCTGGGACGTTGGGTTTCGCGTTCTTCTTCATCGTGCCCCACATGGACGGAGTAAGGCTCTTCGTCCAAGGCCCACCCCCAGCGGTGCTGTTCGTGGCGGAGCTGATTCGGTTGTCGAAAATAGGGACCTTGCTCTTCCTTAGGGTAGCAGGGACGGGAGGAACAGGGGGTGCCGGATATTCGCTCTGTCTCGCAGCGTTCCACATCGAGGGCGTCAGACTCTTCCACGGATTCGATGGGCCTTTGGCGCCACTAATCATAGTCGTCGTCGGCCGTCTCCCTGCATGGTACAGGATCCCCTCGGGTGCAGCAGAGTAGATGGAGTTCTTGATCTCCTCCGTGAGCGGGTACGCTTGACGTTGATTCAGAGAATTCGTATCGGCGCGCGAATCTGGTTCGGAAATGATGGATTTGATCCACGATCCGGGGATTGAGTAATTTTGCGAGATGTTGCTGTTTCGCCAGATGCGCTCACGATCTTCATCGATGGTGTAGCGGTTGCTCTCAGTGAAGTGCGAGCCCCGCGCACTAAGCCGGGGATCTCCGAAAATAGTCTGCCGCGTTTGAGGTGGAACCTCCCCGTCAGGTGATGACTCACTGAATGCAAAGCTCCCCACATCGTTCGAATCAGACTTTTGCGTTTGCTGTGCGGCAAGCGGGGGCATGGGCGGTACTTCCTCATTCCGGAACTCAAACGTTGTCTCACCACCGTTTGCAGCGACGGGTGTGTATAGACTGTTCACCGTTTCCCGATCCCTTGCCCCCGAGCCTGCAGCAGTGGCTACACCTGCGCCGAATCCTACCCCAGCACCAACGAACGACATCCCTGCATTCTTGTATCCACCTCCAGCAGGTCTCTCCATCGTCAACATTTGATCCTCTGTTACTGCCCCAAGCACCTCATCCTTCCACCCTTTCCTGGTCAACGTACGCGCCCCTGGACCCCCAGATCCCACCCCTCGCGAACCACCGACAACACCTCCTCCACCTGAACTCTGACGTCTCCGGTAAACAAAGATCCCTACGATAATGAAGCTGATAAGCAGGGTCAAAGGTATTGCGGTGATCAATGCGAAGGAGACTGTTGGAGACGAAGGAGCCGATTGGATGTTGGCGGCGGGCACGGCACCTGGGGAAGCGTTTGGTGATGCCGCGTCAGGCGCCACTGTGGGAACAGCACCTGATCTTACGGAACCGGGCGGAATTGTGTCTGGAGATACCGTCGGTGTTGTATCGGTGGTTGGTGGTGGTTGGGGAGATGATGGTGATGATCCGGGTGAAGAGGAAGTATTTGACTGAGTAGTGTCGACGGTGCTTGCCGCGGGGTTCGGATTCGAGCTTGATGTTGGTGGAGAGCCTTGTGTGGAGCCATCAGTTGTGGAGCCACCAGTTGTTGGTATTGGCTGGTTTGTTGTAATGGGTGTTTGCTGTGGTGCCTGCGGTTGCGAAGACGATGTGGGTATATTAGTTGAGGTGAGTGTCGTTGGATTGTTAGGAGTGGTGTTGGTGGTTGGAGGCGGCGGCGGCGGAGGCGGCGGAGGTGGCGGCGTATTAGCAGTAGTGGTAATAGTGGTTGTGGTGGTTGTGGTAGTAGTAGTAGTGGTGGTGGTCGTGGTGGTTGTGGTGGTCGTGGTCGTGGTCGTAGTTGTTGTAGTGGTTGTGGGCCGCGGCGGAATGGGTGATGGGCGAGTTCTGCAATGGCAAAGAGAGTTTGTCTTGAGTTGCAAAGAAAGCCAAACATCGACGACTTGATGAACCACTTCAACGATCTCCCCAATCGTGTCTCTGTGACCCTGACATTGGCCCTCCCTGCATATGACATCAGAAACATACCGTGGAGGAAGTCCCGTAGCCCGAACTGTGGACGAAGTCGTCCTCCTCCGCCTCCTTCGAAAAAACCTCCCCAAAACACCCTTATTCCGATTCTTATTTGCACCTGAGGGCTCGCTCGCAAATACTTCCTCGCATTCGGGTTCTCCGGGTTGACATGGCTCATACTCATCCCCCGCTAGCGCCGCGTCTGTTTTCAATCCATCCTGCCGTTTTTCATGGGCACGTGCTGAATCTGAAAGAGTTGGTCGGGTTGTCGATATCTGAGCCGGAGGTTGCAATCCAGGTCCAGCAGTATCAACGTTGACAACGATTGCTACCTCAGCAGGAATGCGAAGCGCATCGACCCCCGCCGCCCACACACACCCCATCAACGCCCACACCCCAACCAGCATGACCATCCATAGACGGACTTCTTTCGCTCTTCTTTTCATGACTCAAGGGTACTCAGGCTGGCATCGTCTTGCCTTCACTGGTATCCATACGGTGCGCCTCGACAGGATTCAAAACACATGGTTTGTTTGCAGCGGAATATGCCTTGTTGTCGACGTCGTAGGAGTCAAAGGACTGAGATGGACAACAGCTCTGACAACAACGAGTTTCCCTCGATCTGAAGCGTGATAGTATGGATGACATCAGAGGCTCTGATTCCTGTTCTGGACCCAAGATTTTCCTGACAACTGCTTCGAAAGGGGACGGGCCAGCCAGACACCAGGCCAAACACTGCGTATGGTGCAAGTTGTGTGATCGATGGGGGGTTCTTCTCCGCCTGCCTTCGTGGACATCCAGTAGCAGTTCATTCAGACACTTTGGGGCGAAACGTGAGGCGAAATGAAATGCAGAAAACAGTGCAGAAAATGAAATAGATGTGTGTGTAGATGCGTGGTATATTTTGAAAAATATGTAAAGAAGTCACCTCCTCCCAAAATCACGAAGTCGAAAAATGTCACCCATGTTTGTTGGGGTAACAAGGGGTTATTACCATAGTTATTACGGCGCCTCCCCTCAACCCCGACTCCAAAAATTATCCATTTTCGCCCAGATCTTCACCCAGATTTTTGGCTTACTGGTTCCCGTTCGCTTAACAGTTCGCCGACGGTTCGTCGACCTGTTGTGCTGTTGTTCAGCTGTTCAAGTTGTTCTCGGAGTTCCAACATCAATGGAGACCTCAATGCCGCCATCTGGCGGGCCGCCTATCTTCTCAAGTCCTCTCCCGCCCATGTCCCGCCCCTGCCCGCCCCGTGAGAGCAGCTTTGAGTCCAACAGTTCCGACTGGGCAGCGGGGCCGGCGAATTGGTCAACTAAGTAATTCTTTACAGTTTGCGTGTGCGGTTTCAAGGATTAACTTGAATGTCCTCATCATTGTCCCCAAGGTCGCCCCTGAGGTCGTCCGCATAATCGCTACACCCCAGCCGCTGGCAATGTGCAAACCAGCCAATGTAGTGTGCGTGCAAAAGACCTCTATATCTCACCAGATACCGCAGCGCGCGCTGTTGTGACAGCTGCTGTGATAACCAAAATGAACTCCAACTTGCCAGACAACGTTACTCGCTCCCTGGCTCCCTGACTTGCTCCCTGAAGTCTTGTGACTGCTTTCACACTACTAGTACTGGTGCTGCGTACAATATTATTGCTATTTTTGATACTGAAAAACCACGGCACCACTACCCAGACTACCTGCTCCCATACCTGCTCCTGCGCCATTCCTGGCAGATAGAGTTTCCAAAGGACTCCCCAGAAGATCCTACAGAAGACCGAAGGCAAATCGCAAAAGCGCATACGCAATAAGGGATAGATCAGGCGAATTTGGAGCCGATCCTGTTTGAGTCCGATCGAAAACTGTATACCAGCAGTTGTACCAAAAGGAAGGCAGCAACTAACTACAAAGAAAGTATGCGCAATAAGGGATAGATCAGGCTAATTTGGAGCCGATCCTACTTGGGTCCGATCGAAAACTGTACACCAGGAGTTGTACCAGGGGGAAGGCAGCAATTGACTACAATAAAATTGAGTATGAGCATAATATCTAAAAATCGCGGGAGATTAAATGCTCCGTGCAGGGATCGAACCTGCGACCTTGGCGTTATTAGCACCACGCTCTACCGACTAAGCTAACGGAGCTGACCGACTCTGTTGAATACGATATATATATTCATAAGGTGTTTCGGGTTCATTACCAACCCGTCGTTCTCACCCTAACTGCTGCACCCTCTTTCTGCCAGCCTCCTCTGTCTGTTTGTGAAAAGCAATCTCCCGAGAGAAGCACATACCGTTCAATATTCTTAACCAGTTGTACGATGTTTTGACCTGAAGGCCTCAACTTGAGAACAATTCCCTGCCATGTTCGGCTGTTCCGTGAGCTCAGTCGGCACACCCGAAACCCTTCAAGGCACTTGGCCAGACCCCACTTTCACGCAAAACAGATGTATCCTCCATTCTTTTCACCATCCCATCACCATTTTCCCACTCCCCATCAAATCCCATACTTCCAAAGCAACTGCCGATGCGGTGATGGGTTTTCACCACCCGTACTGCGGGTACAGGTCTTCTTCCACCACCCACCCCACCACTGAACCCTTTGCATACGTCGTAAATGCCTCTAAATATCAAGTCCCCCACCTATTGCCAGCGACCTCCCCACACGAAAAGCGTCCAAACCAACCACAAGACGTTTTCTTAGGGCTATGAACTAAAAGTGATGTTGGACTATTTCATCATCCAACATATCAAAAGCAGAAAGCGCATCACGACTTCTCACCCTTGGACGACCATTGGGCGTTCACAACAACGTAGACATCGACGTCAAAGAAAATGCGACGACACCAACACAGAATTGGTTCAGACCGAGGTCTGACCATGAAGCGCGTTCACAATGTGTGAAGTTTACATGGGTATGTGATGCTACCGCTATCGGTCTGGCCGTCGTGTAAAAGAACTATGGCTATTTTGGTGGTGAAACGGATGAGCTCGTTTGCAATGATGACGCAAGGGTCCAGAAAACAACATGAATCGATTGGACGAGTGGTGAATTGAATAAGATATGATTGGTGAACCCGACATCGATCTCAAAGGCTTTTAAGGAGAAGCAGCCAGGAAGCAGCTGTGAAGTCAGATCACCGTTTTCCACGGTCGGTCCATGAGAAACTCGCTTTCGGCCAATCGAAAAATTTCGCGAATGGCTGGTAATTGATACACCCTGATCCTGCTCGCCACTGCGTTGATGATCTTGACCTTAGCCCCAATTGCTATAGGATTTGCGACGCTTATGGTCAACCAATACCTCTCTTCCCCTCTCCTTTTTATTTGCACATCCCCCAAGATCTACTTGCCTTAAGAAACTACGTTTCAAATATGTCCTGCAATCTTGTGAACAGAAACTTTTACCAATCATGTCAATTGTCCCTTACGTTTTCGTATGAAAATCAAAGGGACTGTTTGTTGATGGAAACTGTTGATCGAAGACGAAAAAGAAACGAAGCAAGGCGTGGTATTCAATCTTTTCCGTTCGTCATTATAAAGTAGTTAGTGCTAGTGGCTCAACATCGATATCCGTTTTCACGTTCCGACAACATGAACAACAGCAATGACAGCGACAGCATCAGCTTGGAGCTCGAGGAGGATGTGGTGTTTCGCACCACGTTGGATCTCTTCACAATGATTTTGGGGCTTGTCGTGTACTCAATCAGCTTACTCGCTCTCGGGTATGCATGGTGGAACGCCAGCTGGAGGCCTTTCAAAAGCAAACAACTGGACTGGATGACTCTGAGTCTGATATCATCATTTTGTTGGTGGTTCGGGGGGATGGTGAGTGGCAAGTGAATGTGAGATTCGGATTTTGAAGTGGCGGGTTCTTCATCGCGCTCCACTTTGTACTTACATTCGCGTTCTTAATGTTACCGACCCACCATGCCCCACACAACTGTCTTGAACGCACATGGAATTCTTACACGCATACATATCATAAGCAAGCGAATGTTGTCCTCTCATCCGTCGGGGTCTTTAGCCATTGCATTCACTTCGGCGTGCTCATACAGGTGATTGTTTCCAAATTGGTAGTTTCATCAATGTCCATTCTGGCTAGAGGCCGGGCTTAACATTTTCCTTATCCGTAATTACTCCCTCCTCCCTCCCAGTTGGTCATCGGCGCACAAGGTTTCCTGACTGTCCTTTCAATCCGGCTCTTCAAAATCCACCGGATCGTGCTTCAACTCAAGCCTGCAGCAGGGCGGGATTGGCATTTAATCGTGGCCTTGTTCTTTTCGCCTTTGTTCGTCTTGGGAGTGATTTCGTACTCGTTGCCTGAAGAGTGGACGGTTCGCTATAACGCCACGAGAAAAGTGTGCGAATACAATGAGTCGTATGAATATGTGTTGTATGGGATAGTCGCCGCTCATATCGTGGTGTTGGGGGTGCGTATATGTTCTTTTGACTTTCATCTTGAGCCATACGATGTGTCCAGCGTGGTGTACTTAGTCCTCCCATCCTGTGCACGTGCAGTGTCTGGTATTCGTTCTCCGCAACATTCGACGTTCACTCAATGAGTATCGTGATTTGAGACTTGGTTGCTTGGCGGCATTTTCTGCATTGGTGATTACGTTGTCTATTTGGCTCCTCGGATGGCACGAAATGGATGTCCCGCGGAACTTGATTGTGTGGGGTTTCATGGTTCTTGGGATGTCATACTTTTGGGCAATCATGTTTCGGCCGACGTATGGCTGGTACGTAAACACTCGCTTCTTTGGAGAAGGCGTTGATTCTGGTGTCTCTCTTTCTATGCCTATGTGTTGTTGCTTCCGTCCTTAAGAGTCGCGGTTGGTCAAAGTCTCATCCTTTCTTTGCTCGTATTGACACTGCCCTGATGTCTGTTTTCCGGGAAATCGTCAGCCTTTTCAACCGTGATCAATATTACGAGACGTTCATGCGTGGGATGCAATCGGAGGACGTCAAGGCTGCTATAGTAATAAGGACATCGGAAGGAAAGGCGAGCACACAAAGTGACAAAACCGATCGGGTAAAATGAGATTGCAAGTGTTTTTGCCTCTACGTGGATTTTACCATTTTGTGGTCTTGAGAGGAGGGATGACTCGATGCAAAAGCTATGTTCTGGTAGCAGTCGACCTGCAAGTGCTGAGTTCAGTTTATCCAGGCCGATCAAAAAGAAAACCTTAATCATGAATCATTTAAAAATGTGGACTGTGCGAGGGGAATGTTTGCTGATTGGTACATTCAATCGACGTCAACAAATTGAGAAGAAGAAAGAAGAACGCCAGACGTTTTCCCCTCCTTTGAATCTAAAATATTGTCATCCTTATCCTTAACTCGGCGTTGAACTTAAAAACACTGATTGCCCACTTCAATTAAAGACCCCACACTGTGAGTGCGAACACGAAACGCCGTTGACAACTCATCATCTTGTAACAATTGAGAATACTAGCAACGATAGCATCAGCTTGGAGGAGTACGGTGTGATATTTCGCTCCACGTTGGGAGCCATCGTGCATGACTGGATGAGCAAAGGGATAGAATTGGAAGCAGAGATTCTGGATCAGTGAAGGATCAGTGAAGGCTGGATATGCGGAGGGCGGAATGAGTGGATGAGCAGAGGCTGAATATGCGGAGGCCGGACTTCCAGAGAAGTGGAGGCGAGGAACTCGTTGGATAAGTGAAGCTCAAGGCCGGAATTCTGGATGAGCACAGGTAGGATAAGTGGAGGCAGGGTATGGAGGGAGGATATGTGGATAAATCGAGGCCGGAATGCTGGATGAGCGGTGGGTAAAGGAAGGCAGAAAATGCAGTCTAGTAGTTCGCGCAGAGGCGACGGAGCTCTGGGAAAGCGAAGGCAGGAATCAGCGGGTTCAAGCTTGTTCTCAGAAACACCAGTGGAACGCCGACTGGGGCCCCTTCAAAAGCGAACAACTGAACTGGATGAGTACAACCGTTACGAAGGAAGATAATTCGCAGTGCGACCGCTTCTTTAAGCTCTGCAGTCACGTCCACATTCGGCTCCGACTCAAAATCTGAATCATGATGTCTTCCATTTGCGACACGCCCCCGACTTGCGGCGTTTGAATCAGTTTTGAAAATGAAAGGAAAAAAAGGGGGTTTACGCATCCGTCGGGGTCTTCAGTGAGGGTGATCACTTTGGCGTGCTCTTGCAGGTGATTCCTTCGATTCGGTCTCCATTGCTGTTTCGTCGGGTTCACCATCTTTCAATCTATTTCCGTCCACTTCACCTTGTAAACCCTATTGGACCTTCACCTCGTCGCCACTGCTCACTTAGTCCGGCTCTTAAAAAGGTGTCATCTGCACAAGAAGACGGTGTTAGGCCTAGATACCTCAATGGTGAGGAGGTATGAAGAGGTTCGGGGTTGATAAGGGCAGCGCGACTTACAACAGAGACATCGTCTCACAACATCAGCGCAAAGTGCGCTGTAAAATCCTTGACTGGCAGAACCGAGGTTGGGTCATCTTGGCATCCAGTGTTCGTAATTTTCGACGGATGTGTGGTGTGAAAAATGATGTAAGTGCAATCTGTGAAATAAAGGGGATTGATGGCCTTTTTGAGAAGCGCGATACCCGTTTCAACATGGCATATCCGCTCAGAAAGATCCGTTTACTTCACTCCACCCTTTTCATCTCGACGCACGACTTGACTGGGGACTGGGTCTCCGGCACGTGCACAGAAGTACCAAGATACCACGGTGAGTTTCATTGATGCGAGAAGTTCTTCAAAGTGATTGCACATGAAGAAGAAGATTGTCAATTGCAAGTGTTCTACGGTGCATCTGTTTTGGAGGCGTGAGGAAAAGATTACTGATGCAAACGCTACGTTCTGGGAGCGATCGACGGACCTGATCTAAATAACGTTTATCATAAGTCACTCCAAAACAGAACCCGAATCAGATCTTTTAGAACAAATATAGACCGTACCAGCCGAAATCTCGCTGATTGGTGGTAAATCTACCCATCAATAAAGACAAGTAAATGATAAGACGAAAGAAAATCCGCTGGATATGTATTCTTCACTCTTTTAAAGCTTTTCCTTGAATTCACAAGCGTCCTAGTTCCAAGAGCAAGATTGACAGTGTTCGTCGGCTTCACCTACCACCGGTGCCTAAGAT